ATCTTTTGTAGAGATTACAGAAAAATGAAAGTTTTACTAATATATTTGTATTTAAACAATACATTAGAATTTTTTTTTTATTTTCTGAAGAGGAAAATCTTTTTTGTCTGAAGAAAATCACTCACTATTGGGGTAAAATTGGAAGTTATTTGATGCATTGAATTAAGTGAGTGTTATTTTAATGTATTGAAGCATTAAAATTAGCACCTTCTACAGTTTCAATATGTGAGGTCCCGGACAGGTCCAAACCATCATGAATTTCATGAAAATTAGTTGATCTAGAGAAATATTTAATTGTTTAAAAAGGCAAAGAAAAAATGTTTGTAGTCAGAACCCCTTTGTTTATATTAAAACTGTGACACAGAGTCGTAAATCATGAAAGGAATGTCGTCCATTTCTGATTGAAAGATCAAGTTTAATCTTGAGTTTGACCTCTCCTATGCTCCAAGTAGGAGACCTGTTATGCTTAGTAATGAGGGACCAGCCACTTGGAAGGCACGGATGAGAAAGATCACCCAGTCAGAATGGCCAATTGAAAGACAGAGATTGATATAATCTTCAAAGACGAATCACTTTCTGTAAACTGTGCATCTACAAACAGTTAGTCAATGCACCAGCCAATTCTCGTCTATTGTACATGTGATGAGTCTGTGTTGCTTGTGTTCCGTCACCCAACTTTGAAGAGTCACCATCTTGACAACAAACTGCATCATCACTATCATCATCAAATCTGCCCTGGGGCCATCAGGAAACCTCTGAACAAGGAGCAGCTGTCAAGCGAACTCTTTGTTATCTTAGACCCAGGGTGGCCAAGCTCCTTGATAGTCCGAGCCATTTTTCAAAATTGAAATTTTTCGCAAGCCGCAATTAAATACGTATTAAAAAGGTACACAAAAATTCCAGATTACAAATTATATCCGTAGCAAGAGTGATACAAATTGTTTCCTTTAGAGCACAATGTCAACTGTCTGTTGCAATGACAGTTTACAAATTCAAAGTTGGTCTGGAGTCGGTCGATAATGGACGATTATGCCACTGTTTATGTTTGTTCGCACAGTTTTCGATGAGTCATATCATTCTTAACTTGGACGGAAATGAAATTTGTTACAACGTTGCACTTAGTCTTTCATATTTGTTGTTAGTAATTTAAAAGACATTTTGAAACACATACGGAACGATAATAATTTTTTAAAATATAATAACACAAAAATGAAAAGGGAACTCGGGTACATTTATCGAGAGCCACAAATAATCCTCCAAAGAGCCGCATGTGGCTCGCGAGCTGCAGGTTGGCCATCCCTGTCTTATACAGTGATGAAATTCTTGGAACGTTCTTTCAATGTCAAACTGCCTGTCTACATTTGTGTAAGCACTAGTTTATTATAATAAACAGTTTGTTGTAAGGATATGTGTCATCTTTACCTCCAGCACAACCACCCACATATGAACAGCCCTTACATTCATCTTCATACGGGATTGACTGATTTCCCCCTAAAAGTTGGCAAACTTACAAATAACAGTAACTGATTCAGATAAGATAAAGCATATACAAGTGAAATAATAGGAAAAAAATGGAAAGACTATTAGTGCTGTAAATGGATTCAAATCAAAAGAACATTCCTATAACTCAAACAATAATCATGAAGTAAGTAAAGTCATTGTTTAATGAAAGAAATAAAGAGGCTGGTGGAAAAAATTATTTTGGCAAATAAGGTGGGTTTTTCATTACAAAAATCATACATAAATTCACAATATTAAAATTTTATATACTGTTAGAAATCCTTTAATATTCTTATAATTCTGTAACCTGGGAAGAAGTGTAACAGTCACATATGAATGATGTCTGGAGGAAAGTGTGGCCTGATGAGGTTTTTGACTTTTCTGGATTTAAGCTGAGATGTTTGTGGAATGGCCAAGAATGTTGACATTGATGATGTCAATGGATTGCTAGAAAATCAAGGAGAACCAGTTTCAATGAAAAATTTAAAAGAGTTGCCAACACAACTTTCTAAAGAGGAAATAGAAAAAAGAAGTTCAGGAAAAGATACCATTTAGGGCTCTCATCACAAACTCACTTAAAGAAGCTTTAACATAGATACAAACTACCTGTGAATCTCTTTATGATATGAATGTTGACTAGAAATGAAGCTCTTCCAAGCTCTTCCATCCAAAGAACTGTACAAACCATGAAGAAATGAGAAATGTTCTCAAGCAAAGAAATGCTCTCAAACCATGTTAGAACAAGTTAAGAGGAGATAAGGAAAAAGATCTAATAAACTTGGAATCTATCAATCTACATAACCCTTACTCCAAAGTCCATCTCATTAAAGTTTCTTCATTATGCCACTGTTTTCAAAAGTTTTTTTAATTTATAACTTTTGTCTTACTTTAATTATAAAATAACCATAACTATTTATTAAAATTGAAAAATTATTAACTTTAGTAGTCAATTTTCATACTGAAGGAACTGATTTAATTTAAATGTACAGTATTACAATTTTGCCTTAATTTATAAAGAATTAAGTCTTGTGAGCATTGTGCTGTTGGGAACCACTTTGTAAAATCAGGGCTTACTATACTTTATTTCAAGAAAGAAGAAAACTTAATGTAAACAAAAATTACAATAACTAGAAAGACACAAATGTATCTCATGCTGGATGATGATGATGATGATGATACATTTATGATGATATATATATATATATATATATACAAGATTTTTATATTAATTATTTTTGATTTTATTCAAAAATATACTTTTATGAAAGTAATTACTATAATTTAGATTTTTCTAAGAATCTATGGCAAATCATCAATTATTACACAACAATAATTACAAAACTGTTTGTATCAGATTTTTCTCAGATGAAACAAAATACAAGTAGAAGAATTTAACTCAACATAATCTTGATGTACTGTATTTCCGGCTATTGGAATGCCTTTTCCTAAACTTATCCCAACTTCATTATGATTCGATTCAACATATTATTTTATCCAAAAACAAAATTTCTATATGATTTTCTATTTTTAGAAAATAATAACATATTTTAGGAAATTTTATATTCAAAAACATTTTTAAATAATAAAGAGGCTCTAAGGTTTCTGAATCCTTGAGAATTATTTATGAAGTTATTTACTTTCGTGAAAATGTAGCTGGCTTTCAATAATAATACTGAACAATTTGTATTTTATTGTTTGTTTGAATTATTAAATATTATCATCATTAAAAGAGTTTTTTCATTTATATGTAGGAATATTGTTGGAATATTCTTTCTATTTATTTATTGTTTCTTTTAACTGATTGGTTTTTCCCTAATTTTCACTTAGCTTTTAGCAATGGACAAATATGGTTTAATTTGAATGAAAGGAAAAAATTTTGAATATGATATTTAGATGTCACCTTATATCATTATCATAATAACATATAAATTTATTTGCTCATAGTTTAAAAAAAATTCTTTATTGTCATAGAAATATTTATATACAGAATTTATTTTACTATTTGTTTCTAGGAAAGTACATTCTTAAGTAAAAAACGAGAAAAAATGTTTTTGTTGTGTTTGATATTTTAAATTATTAATGTACATTCTGAATTTGTTAACAATAATAAGAATTTAACAAACATGCATGTTTATATACAGTAGAATGTGGATAATTCAAACATTTCCTTCAAATCCTTGAGTTTTCTGTAAAAGTAATAATGTAAAAAATCCTCTTTAATTAATTCAAACTTTTTTGATTAGAAGTAAAATTGTAAAAAGTTTAAAAAAATTTCACCTGCAATAATGAAATTATAAATGTGTTTAGCCACTAATGTTGATAACATTGATTAAGAAATTCCAGAATAGAATATCCAACATATTTCTTAGCTTCAACTTAAAAGTATGCCTGTTAGCTTTGAAGTGGAGATTGAGAATGAGAGCAAACCAGAGAGCATGGGAAAACATCTGAAATTTCCAATCAATTAATAAATATAAATATCCATTAACCCAATAAATTTGTTATACACCATGCCAGGGTAAAGCAATAGCCAACTGAATGCCATGGAGGGCATATTAAGTGGACACTTCAGACATTCCCAGTCAGTGCTGTGACTGATCAGTATGGTTATATCTAAATTATTTAATTTATTTTTATTTTGAAGTAGATAACCAATAAGTATGAGTACACTTCTTAGCATGTTTGAATACTGTACTATGCAATATCTATAAAAAGATGATACTGTACTGCTTTTGAAGTGACTAAATAAATTAGTTGACTTTTAGTACAATTTCTGTGATTTTAGTTCTTAAAATACTGGCAACATTAACAGCATTTATGTTTGTACTTTATTAGTTTAATTGTATGTTAAACTGTTTATGGGTATGTGATATAATTTTCTACACATGCCTATGCCTACATATGTATACTATACTATATTCTGCCCTGTCATTATATCTGTGTCCAAACCTGCTCATTTTCTTACAAAATCAACAATCAGTTCAACCATTCAAAATTTCCCTTCTTTTAAAAAAAAATTGACAAAAGGACCATATGTAAAAACTGTAATGAAATAGAGTACCAGTCTTTACTGTACAGTGCAGTAAAGTACTGTACTGTAATGTAATTGTTAATTTATTATTATGATATTATATTTTATTGACATCTTTTTAATAATTGAATTTTTTATGGTCTCTTCAACTTTGAATTATCCAAATTCTACTGTATTATATATAACATTAGTTTATAGCGTTATTAGTTATATTTTACAAAATAAATAATTTTAATTTAAAAGTTGAAAAATCAATATATAATATTTGTAATAAGAAATCTAATCTTTTAAACTATATGGACTTTTAAGAAAATTATAGTTGAAAATATTTCATTCATATTGCAATGATATGCATGAATATTGTAATAATTTTCAAATGGGAAATTTGAAATACATTCAGAAGAATTCTCCTACAAAATATGCAAATAATTAATTAACAAAGGACTGATTTATACATAAACTCTTCTAGGATCCTGCTAGTGGTGTAATGCATGGTATTGATGGGTATAACTCTTTTAAGGTTGATGCTGATGATCTTTCTACTTCATCAGATCAAGGTATAGTTCCAGGTAAGATTATCTTTATAAAGAATGTTATGAAAATAGTTAATTATGTGTTAATTATAAATTTTAAGTATTTTGTTAAATACAAAGATTAGTTTTTTAAAATAAATTTAGTTTATTAATTGAAAAAAATAAAATATTTTTTGTGTTAAATAATTATCAGATAATATCTTAATAGTCATTACTTTCATGATGCTTTTCAGTATTAATGGTTTTAGATTGTCTTATATTAAATAAAAATAAGTTTTTTTTACAGTTTACTCTGTTATTTACTATTAGCTATTTATTGTATTTCACTCTCTTTTGAAACTATGCAGCAGAGTATAAGATTTCAATGCATAATTTTCTTAAGTATGTTTTCAATCTGTATACAATTTAAAAAATTTTTTTAAGTGAAATTCTGATATTTATATGATCTACCTATCAATATTTTTAATATGTTTTGAAGTTTGATTAAATATAACAGAATAGTGAATTAGGATTGTTTCAATTATTTTATATTTGTGAAATAATTCATTTTAATTTTCAAATTTTATTTTTGGCTTCTATCATTATAAATATTTTTGTTAATTTTATATAAATACAAATAATAATGGTGGACTTGCTTAGTGTTGATTATTATTATATATGCTACTCCTAAAGTCAATTGTTGGATATTTAAAATGATTAATTTTCAAATCAAAGATTGTAGTGCATTCAATCAATGAATGATAAAATATTACTCTAATCAGATAAGATTTTTTTTTTAAATTATTAAAAACTTGTACATTATTCAAAGAATTGCCACACCTTGCAAATATACACAATTACAAATTAGTATGATCCATTAATGAGTTAAACCAGTTCAAAAACTAGATCAGGATCAAGTTTTGATTATTTATAAAAGTGTAAATATTCAATAAATTATACGTAGCTAAAGGTAAAAATATGCTTTATTGGAGTTTAAAAAAAAATCAGTTTCCAAGCCCATTCAAACGTCTAAAGTTCATCATTAAATTTACAAAATAAATTTATTTTTTAACTCCAGTAAAGATTCATAGGTTGTTTGAAGTTTAGATTATTGATGAATGTTCTGTTATATTCTGTTAATTTCCATTCTCTCTGAAGTCTAAAAGATTTTAGAGAGGAGTTAGAGATTGATAGAATGTATTTGATATACTGGATATATATATATTCTTTTTTATAGTTTTTATAAAGGCTTTCTATTTATACAAAAAAAAATACATATAAAATTTATTTTACAATATGAATCAAAATACTGTTTATAAAATACCTATTTTAACTTCTCTGCAACATAAATATTTTTTAATATGAATGAAATATAAGAATATAAGTAAACCATTACTAATGTAATCAGTAGATGACTGTTGAACTGTTGTGAATTGCAATTTTCAATCTCTCTGTTTCAAATTCAAATTATTTTGTGTGATTAAATGATTTTCTAACTCTGTTCAGGCAAGCTGGTATTTATGCAGCTTTTATCATCTCAACTTTGTAGATTATGTAATTCATCTCATGAAAATTACTATTGATAGTTTTTAAGAAAATTTTTGAAAGTTTCACATGTATCAGTTTTAGATGATAGATGGAATTTTCCAGAAACTATTCATCTAAAAATGTATTTTTAATAAAAATTATGAAAAAATAATGCTTTAAAAGAATTTCAGTGGATAATTTTTATTAATATTTACAAAGTTTCAAGACAGTCTTATATAAATAAGTATTCTTTTCACTTTCACATCCCATGAATAATAATATGCTGATGATCTTTCATTATAGGTTATTTGATTGTCCAAAAGCAATAACAGTTTCAACTAAAAAATAATGACTTCAAAATTTGTAAAGAATATTTTCTTTTTATAATTTCTTTATCCAGTAAGGATACATAAAATGCTAATGCCATTGCCATTTAGTAAGTGCTTGTAGTATGAACAGAAGTGACAAACGAAAAATCAAAAAATGTATCTTTGCATTATTATTTTTATGTGATTAGCATGTGATTATAAATAGTAAAATTTTTGATAGTGAATTTTGAATTCTTTAAGATTCAAATTTTTTTCAGATCTCAAACAATAAATAAAATTTAAATTAGAAAATTCTTGGGAATTTTGTAATCCTGCATCTGCAGGTGTATAGGAATGTTACTGGTAATTCAGCAATCCAAAACTACATTGAATTACCAGTAGTATTCCTATACATTTGCAGATGCAGGATTATGGAATTCCCAGAATTTTCTAATTGGAATATAGCTAGTATCCCAACAAGAAAGGAAATAAAATTTAATTTTCTCAAATAATATAGAAATACAATACAGATTAGAATTTCATGAAAAAATACTAGATTTTAATGTACTGTATTTAACAATAGATTATTAAAAAGTAAAAATTCTAAATCTGTATTCTATTCCAAAAACAAAACATATGATTAATACCAAATTTGATAAAATTGCTGGGACTATAATTGTAAAATTAATATACAGATTAAGTCTATACAATAACAAGTCCTTTGATGTCCTTTCTTACACCTCAGGAAAATAACAGTCTTATGATGGAGTCAACCTTTTATTAGAAACTGCTCATTTGCCTCACTATGCAAAACATTACAAATTCTGGTTGTCATATATGGATTAAAAATGAAACAGCCATACAAATTCAATGGCATGTAAAATAATGTAAATAATTAAAACTGATCTTCAAATATTTTCGATTCATTCAGTTTAATAAAATGCAAAAATAAAATAAAATAAAAAAACATACACACACACTACTTTTCAGAGACAGTTTTATTTTATTTCATGTTTTTGTTACTCGTGTACCTGTAAATACTGTACTGATAATGAGCACAGAAGAGCTCATATTCGTTAGATAAAATAAAAATATCAATACTTATTCTTAAAAATATTACTTATAATACAGTCAAATTTTTTAAATTCAAACACCAGGAGAAATTCAAATAAATTTGAATTATCTGTTTTATCCACAAAGAACAATGGGTAAACAGTGTAATTATTAACACTGTTGTTTATCCCTTTTCCCTTTTTATGGAATAAACATGACACCAGAAGGCAGTGCCTTAATCTTCATTTTACAAAATGCATTTTAATTGATTACCTTAAGAATGGCCCTTCTCAGTTGATAAAAGTTTTGTATGTATTTTATTTTATGTAACCTTTTATCATCTAAGAAGGACCATTCTTAACAGAATAGGTCAAAATGCATTTTGTGAAATAGAGATTAAGGAACTGTTTTCTGATGATAGGTTTTTTTCCATAAAAAAAGATAAAAGGGATAAACAATAGTGTTGAGAATCATACTGCCTACAATATATTGACTTATCTACTTATGAAAAGTAAACTGATTTTCTTCATGTTTTTAGCATTGCCAATTGTCAGTATTCTACTTTTTGGTAATATCACATTTTCTCTTACTTTTTTCTGACTCCTTTAATCAACCTTTTTTTTTTTGTATTATTATAAACATATATATCTGATATTCTATATGTAGAAATTTTTATATTAATTTTTACAAATGGAGAGAGATGATATGCAGTTTTGCTTTATTAAAACAAGATCATCAGAAGTGATTATAGTTAAATCAAATAAAAATCTAATAATTTATGCGTAATATATGTTAAGCATATGTTATACATAATTAGCAAAAGTATGTGTGTGTATATTATATATATATATACCCACACACATATTATATATAAACCAAAATATATATACATATATATATATATATACACATATCAGAGATTACTAAACTGGAATTATTTAATAAATTTATTTGTTTTGATGAAATGTTTCTTGAATGAAAATTACATAAAATGAAATCACACTGCACTGAAATTTCACAAATTATTCCACAAATTTAAAATTTTAACTTAAAACACTAATTTTAAACCTTTTATTATTCATTTTTTTTTATTGTTGAACACAAGATGTGTTCAACAGTCAATAAATAGTAAAACACGGTTTCAGAAAACAAATTAATTTTTTTGTTATTGCTATCTTGTTTGTAATGGACTTTTAGTTGCATTGATATATTAAACTTTATGAATTCTATGAAAAATACTATATTTCTCTTTGAATTGAAATTGGCAGATGATATGAGATTCAGCTAATCAAATAATCAAGCCCAATAATAAATCTGAGTTATTTGATAAGTAATATCACAAGTGATTCAGCATCATAGATAAAGCTAATGGGGCAATACTTTTAAGAATTTTATATGTATATAAAAATAAAATTTTAATTTCCATCATTTTTACTTCTTATATAGTTAAATCTGAATAGTTTGAACATGATTAAATCAAATTACTGTACATTTTTAACTCACTACTATTCTCCTTGAAATTCATATTTAATTATTCAAGTGGTACATCCATTTTGAGCATGCTGATTTTATTAAAGTATTTACCGTATTTATTCGCATATAAGACAAGGTATGACTAAAGATCAAAATAAGAAAATTAGATTTATTAATACAATTCTAATTTTATTTCGTTTAATCACAAATAAAATATCAAATGCATGTAAATGCACACATTGTCCCAAAAAAATTACTGGCATTTTAAACTTAAGTAAAAATTTAGTAAAATCGACAACATAATTTGTTCATGTAAAGCTGCTGGACAATTGGGAACCTTTTTGCCAATTCTTAATAGTTGAATCCACACTTTTGAGTTTCTCCAAATTCTGATTTCTAAATAATCATCTGTTTTCATGGGAATGGATTAAAACTTATATCGAGCTCCTGTGCGATTTTGGAATTTGAATTCAGAATTTAACTTAAAAGCTTTGCTTTTCTTATTGCTATTCATCTTTACTCCTGACAATACACAAGAATGATTCAAACGATCCAGATAAAATACAGTAGAGCCTCGATTATCCAACTCAATTGGGGACTGGGGTTGGTCGGATAATTGAAAAGTCGGATAACCGAAAAGTATGAAAAAATCCATTACTAGTATAGTATATTATTATATCCCATGTAATTATTATA